TTCCTCCTGAAACCAGTAGATTTTCGTACTTTGATATCTTTAGAGTGGGAGTCTTATATTTTGCTGGGGCTGACTTCCCACATAAGGACTTGATGTCAGCAGGCAGGGGGGTCTGGCAGGTACAGGAAGATCTGAGTTGCTAAAGCAATAAGGGGCCTTTTCACACATTTTCTTGATCTGATTATATTACCACAGAAGCAAGCAGAKGCGTTCTTGATTGACGGCACATTATGGAGATAGATGTCTTGCCTCATGAAATCTAAACCAGCCCATGAGCAGCCCAGCACTGCTAGGCATTGCTTTGACAATATGCTTTGGTATGCTCTTTCTGTGTTGGTTGAACAGGATGGTGATTGCCAAGGCGTGGGTTCTGAAGAAGCATTTTGATGGTTTTCCGAAAACSAGCGACTTTGACCTGAAAAAGATAGAGCTACCAAATCTAAAGGATGGACGTGAGTAAAGTGCTACCTGTTTCTAATTTTTCTGGAGTTATCTGATTGCTGCTATGTGGCTGTGTCTGTAAAACTGTTGGCATGTTTCTCTGGTTTGGACTTTGAAGAACTGGGTGACACGCTTGTCCCAAGCRGTGCACCTTAAAGGGAGAAGGGCAGTTGCTGAAGAACAAGCATACTGGTGGGTTTGGTGGTTTCAAAGACATGCTGCCTTCTGATAATGCCCTTGGAAACAATGACTGAGCTCTTTTAAGTCCGGTACACAGCAATTGTGGCATACCATTTACAGTTTCAACTGCCTAATCACACTTGCTACTTGATGACAAAGGCATTCAAGTGTGTTTGCAAATAAAGCTTCCTCGAGAAAATTGCTGAAGTGATGTGGCTTCAAAACCAACAGCAGCCAGGAAAAGGGAATGTGTTTAATTTAGAAAARGAGGAATGAACTGTGACACAGAACCAATCAGTTAATGGTAGTAAAACCCTAACATGTTTTACTAGTAAAAGGTTTTATGTGCTTTAATTTGCAAAATTCTTTGGAAAAAGATGGAGAAGGTGATACCCTGTAGCAGTAATTTTTCAGTGGAGYTTTTCATGCTGATACGGAAAATCTTGACCATAGTGCTGGGGAAGAACGGAGTGACTGCATTTGGAATGAACCTTGGGCTGGAGTCAGTGAAAGTTGGTCTTTTATTTCAAGAAGCAGCATGGCAAGACTTCTGCCTGCATCCAAAATCAGTTTTTTTGCCAGTCCTTATCTTACTTGATCTGTTGCAAAAAAGAGAGTGACTGTAAATAGGAGAAAAAATGGACACTCTTTATTCCTGTGTTTCTCTAGTTCTCTAAAAAGTAACGAATGTGATAACTTATTATCATACCAACCACAAGAGCTGTTAATTTTTGGTTTCACATGGATATTTGTACCATGTTGTCTCGAGCCTTATCCCACCATTTGTCATTTACAAAATTTGCTACTCTTTAAAGGGTGTGTGGAAGGAATTGCATTGAAGTACAATTATGTTTMCAACTTAAATGTTGGAAAACTGATTTATTTTGCATGTACAGATACACTTAAAAATTCCATGCCAGTGAGTATTTCAGAATAAGGAGTAATTCCTTCCTTCGTTCCTATTGCAATCCCTAAAGCAAGAAGAGACACAAATTCATATTACAGTGACACTTTTAAAGGCAACGGCCTTCCTTGTTACATTACATGGCTTTCCTGCTCACTCTGGAGTAGTGGGAAGGTATTTACATCTGAATGTATTTCTAGCTTGAAGAAATACAAGCAAGACCGCTGGAGCACAGGAAATGAAAAATACTAGTYGATAGAGATGAACAGCTTAAAGTTCGTGTGAATGAGAATTTTAAAACATGTTTAATGCTGCCTTTCCCAAGAACTAGTGTCATTAKAAACTGTAAAGTGGATTGGGCTACTTAGAAAAGTAGTGGCTTGTATTTGACTTGTGCCAAGGTATCTTACCACCCTCTCGTGGCTGAATCATGGGATGACATTTTATATGTRCATCAAAATTAAATTAAAGTTTTGCTTAGGATTCTGGCTGCTTGATCCTTCTGTAGAGAGAGGAGATGTGYGAACTTGCAGGGTTGAAAATAAGATAGTTTCATAAAGATACATTGCAGAAAGTTTCTTTTGCAACAGCGTACCAATAATCCAAAACTAATGAATGTAATGGCCATTTCTGATAGGTTTTTCCTAAACAAAGATCGAATATGGGGTTTTTGACCTGTCGGGAACTCATATCAATTTAGCTGGAAGATTGAMTTGTGGAAATAAAGCTCTACTGCACTGCTGATATCCAGGAATTTGCTTTGTCTTTTGTTGCAGAGTTGCTGCTTGAATCAGTGTTTCTCAGTGTTGATCCTTACATGAGGTATACCTTTTTCTCCTTTCTGAATTTCTGGCTAAAGTGCCTCATTTGATCTGCCACTTAAACCTCAACACAACAWGCACTGGCAGCACCCACTGTAGCCAGAATCCCAATGCCTTTGTCTTCTTTTTATAAAATGCATGTTAATTACAAGATTCAAAATACGGAACTGTGCTAGATTTAGCTAGAYGTTGGGGTAACATTTCTGCTGCTCTAGACATTTCTTGGAATGAGCTGTTCCTTGTTGTGTCTTCAACTGGARTGCAATGTGCTCAGATGACACTGCAGTCCTGTAGCAGTTCCTGCTTAATTTATCTTAGCAGCCTTGTACTTCAGGTTGCATATCCTAAGTTGGACATTGCTGATATAACGATGTTAATGGGCAGTAATTGAAGCACAGAGAGACTGGGTAACTTGAAGAGGCTTGGTGGATGCTAATGTCAGAGATAGTTCTCTGAGTCTCAGCCTTCTTGTAGCGGGGGACCATGCTAGAAAGATTAATGCTGTYGTTCCCCCAGTACTTCTGCCCAGGATGCTCAAATAGCTAGCTCTGGAAGACATTTGGCTATGCTGTTACAGTGACAAGCTATTTGTGATCTGTTCAACAGCATTGCTGATACTCTCTTTCTGGGTCAAACAGTTGCTACTACTTCATGTGTGTCTGGAACATTATTAAAGTTGCATACAGTAAGCTGTGTTTGCCTGTGTTACAGACCTTACAGTCGAAGGGACATGAAGGAAGGGGACATAATGATAGGCACACAGGTTGCCAGGTAAGATCATCAGTTCCTCTTACCARTGGTAAGATCTCAGCAGGAATCTGCTGACACTTTTGCTTTTCTGGACAGCTTTTAGGGCTCTGATAAAATCTATGTATTATTTTCAGTAATAATGTCTTCAAAGGTAATTTTTTATAGGTATGAAGGACTAGCCATTGTACTTGCCACAAGCGTCAGCTTCACATTTCAAAACCTCATGTGCTCATAACTGCATGCCCACAGCCATGCATGCTGTCTGCTCCAGCTGAAAATACCTCAGCATCATAGAAGATACAGTACTGGCCAGAGGGTTGTATAACCTTAAAATCCATCCTTTCCCCATGCTTGTGGTAATTTGGCTACACAGATGTTTCCCTCTGTCAGCTTGTTCATGCTGTGCTGCCTGTAAGTTGCTGCCCAGGAACAGCTGTGGTCTTTGACTCTTGTGTTTCTCTATAGGAACACTGAGGCCTGGGATAAATTAACAGAGTCTGCTGAACAGAAGGTCAATGATTTCCAGTAATTCAAAGCTGCTTATGTGCCTCTTCCCAACACAATTTTCCTTCAGAGCTAAGAAAGTTGAAATTTCATTTGKCATAGAGACAGTGCTAATGAGGACTTGTCAGTGATTTTAGATACTGTTTTCTATCTGGTTTCATTACCCCAAGAGGTTTTGTCTTCAGGATCTCAACTTTTAAAAGAGGTGCAGGTTGTCCTCATCAGCAACTCCTTGTTGTTTCATGCTTTAATCCCAGCATCCTCTTTCCTGCATTCTAACTCAGACAGAAGCCTAGTCTGAACTCATACCAGACTAGTGCTAGTCAAAGAGTTGTCACTTGTGTGACATAAAATAATTATGTCAGTATCTCCCTCATGATAAGAGGTTGTAGGCATTTTGGAAAAGGCACTTGATATCTACAGCATCAGCAGGTATAGGCTAAAAATCTTGACATKAAATATTTCTTTTCTGAATCATAGGAAGAATGGAAGACCCGGTATTGGTTTGTGTGATGGGGTGATTTTTTCTGTTGCTTTATTTTTATTTATGCTTTTTAAACAGGGTTGTAGAAAGCAAGAATCCTGCTTTCACAGTGGGGGCCTTTGTTGTGGGCAACAGTGGCTGGAGAACTCATTTCATTTCGGATGGAAAAGATCTACAGCTCCTTCCTTCCAGCTGGCCAGAATCACTCCCCAGATCTCTAGCTCTTGGAACAGTTGGCATGCCAGGGTAAGTTTTGAGATGAAAAGGCAGCTATCCCCTGGATTTTGGTGTGCAGGAAGACTATGTGTATGATCTTTGTCTTGTTCTAGCAGCATATTGCCTGTTCTCACTGGTAAAAAAGGTGATCTTCTGGATGCCCTTACCACGCAGAGGGCCTGAAGTTTGGCCCATCCTCTAGATCAGAGATTTGCCTTGGAGATTATTGTGCCTCTCCTTGAGGAACTGTAATAAATCAGAAAGACAATCCAGGAAGAGCTGCAAAGATTCTCRTTCAGTTTGTGTTAACCTTAGTGGAAAGTCTCAGACTTCTCTGGAACCTGCTTTTTCTGATTGGGCTCTGTCGCTATCACTGTATTTCCAGAACCAACCTCAAAATGCAAAAGATAAATGCTCATGCAGCAACGTAGATGTCCTTTAAATTGCACTACAGCAGACAGAACTGCTGTGCTTTGGAATCTGTATTTGCTATCAGAGTCTTTCAGTTGTCTGTGTTTCTTATCTCAATCTGTAGTTTTTATGGGAGATTGGGATTTAGTCAGTCTTAATGACCTGGAAGGCTTTCAAAATGATCTTAAAATTGTGTGATGGAGAACTTCTCAGATTGCATTTTAACATCAGGCAAAGAAGCATGTTTTTTCCAGACATCTTGTGGACATATTCAGATTAACCCTTTCAGTTACAACGATGTGGGAAGCTCTGAGCTTGAATTTAGAAATTAGAAGAAGAGTTTTCTGGAATTGTGGGCCAGTCAATGAGCTATTTTAGTGGGTCTTACAGATTACTGGTGCACTGGTGAGACCTGAAGTACAGCTTCCAGTTTTGGGCCCCTCACTGCAAGGAAGACTGAGGTTCTGGGGCATACCCAGAGAAGGGCAACGTAGCTGATTAAGAATCTGGAGCACAAGTTGATAACAAGCAGCTGGGGGAGCTGGACTTGTTTAAAATGGAGAAAAGCAGGCTCAAGGACACCTTATTTTTCTCTACAATTGCCTGAAAGGTTGTAGCTAAGTAGAAGTCAGTCTTTTCTCGCAGGTAMCAAGTGACAGGACAGCAAGAAATKGCCTCAAGCTTCATCAGAGGMTGTTCAGACAGGAGAAGGAATTTCTTCACAGAAGAGATTGTCAGGCATTCAGTGGTGGACTCACYATCCCTGAAAGTGCTCAAGAGCGAGGACAAGGCACTTAGTACTCAGGTGTAGTTCACAAGGTGTAAGCTGTTGAAAGGTTGGACTCCATGATCTTGGAAGTTTTTTCCAGCCTTAATGATTCTGTGTTTCACCCAGTAGTCATAGCTATGCACAGTAGYCTTCAGAAGCAGTGAGCCCATCAGTTCATCAAGTTTTTCTCACCCTTTTGATCTTTTTCTGCCAGCTTTGATTTGTGATAAGTATCATTTAATCTTTGCTTCAATCTGGTAGATACCAACTGGCAACTGACCTTTGTCTATCTTGGATTTACTGTCTCTTCCAGTATGCAACTGAGTTGTCACCTTACAGAGTTATTTGTGTTTCTTTTTTGGCTAATAAGCACAATTAAATCTGTTTACACCTTAGAGGGATTTCTGCTTCAACATTCTCTTTCCCAGCAATRTATCTGTATTTCTTTAGAGACAGGTGTTAAAAAGATAAATTAAGAAGGTTGGATTAATTTTTATATTTCACAAGACAGGGAAACCTCATCTTGTTCTGGTTGTGATATTTTGATTCAATGTGGTCAAATCACATCACTGCATTTGTCACCTTCTATTCCTCATTGAGCATTCTTTCCTTTTCTTTGCAGGCTCACTGCATATTTTGGTCTGCTGGAGGTCTGCAAGATGAAGCCAGGAGAGACAGTGCTGGTTAATGCTGCAGCTGGTGCTGTGGGCTCTGTGGTGGGGCAGCTCGCTAAAATTGGGGTGAGTGTCTTGAACTGCTCATAGTTGCTGCTGGGAAGACTTAGGTGTAAAACAGGGCAAGAAGGCCATGAATGATCAGTAGGACAAGCATCCCTAAAGGCATGCCTACATTAGGGTCTCAAGATGGAAAAACTCCTGAAGACGTAGCAAATCTAGTTGAATGTTTCAGGAGCTCATATGCTGACAACAACCTGACTTTAAGGCTGAGCTCTTCTCCCAACACTTTCTGAATGTCAGCCTGTGTTGTCAGAGGATGTTTAGAAATGTTTTTMTCTTCTCCTTGCAGGGTTGCAAAGTGGTTGGCTGTGCTGGCTCAGATGACAAGGTTGCCTATCTGAAAAAAATAGGCTTTGATGAAGCCTTTAATTACAAGACTGTGAAATCTTTGGATGAAGCACTGCGTAAAGCCTCTCCTGATGGCTATGACTGTTTCTTTGACAACGTAAGTTCAAAGAGAAGGCCTCACCTTGACCAACTGTCATTTTTCTTAAACTACAGGAGGAACTCAATATTGTATACAACTGGTTGAAGTCTATACCAGAAATTCAGTACTGAGATCCATTTCATCAAGCAGCGGTCTCTGTAGCTTACTGCTTTACTGTTCCAATCTCACATATTTCTGCAGCTGACTTGGGCAATAACAGAAACAGCAAAACCCGAAAGGCAAAGCTAGATTGTTGCCAGTGTTTGTGAATGGAGAGAGAGAAGTTTTACTTCAGTCTCTGAAAAGTGTGGAAACATTTTGAGGAGGTGAAGGTCACAATAACATTTAACTTATCTGATCCATTCCTGGGCCCACTTTGGACAGCAGCCAACACTTTTCTGCTATTGCTGGATGCSGAGTGAATGTGGTTGGCTCCACATTGTGGATGGTCATTGTCACCTGTAAAATAAACAATAGCAAGGCCCACTTGCAAAACTCCTCTATGGAGCAACCCACAGAGGTTTCTGATATCTCTCAAATATGGCTGGATTAATGGGGACTGTGACTGTTTAAATGTGAGCATTTTGTTTTGAAGGCTTAGAAAGTTTAACAGTATGGATGTAGTTAAACCATGTTGGGTAACTTTCAAGACAGGGAGCCAGCCCTGGCTCTTTTGATTTCCTACTAGATGTGACATATGCATTATACCTGATAATATAACACCTGGCCACGAGGGTATTAGCTGATCTACTCGCCTAAAACACCCTGCTAGCTGCCTGGTTTAAAAGAAGCCATCATCACCTCTTTAGCATGTCTTTCCTTCAGCAGTTTGTCTGCCAGTCAAAAGATGAAGGTCATGAGGTTCTGTCTTTTTCTGGTGATTAACAGGAATGTTTGCTGTTAGGGTGAAGTTCTTCTTGTCTCTGTGGCAGAAACCACTTTGCATTAGTCTTCCAAATTTCATGCCCTGTGCTGCTRAGGTCTTAAACAGGTTTTTTGGTCACATCCATTCCCTTCATTGTCACTTCCAACTTTTGTGCAGAGCTCCCCACAGCAGTAGATTTTCTCACACCTTCCCACCATTAAAAGCTTCTTATCACAGCACATCCCTGTTTTGGAGATGAGAACCATTAAGTAAAAACTTGACATCACCATGATGTGGAGATTTAAAAGTGCAGACCGGTGTGTGGGAAAAGCAGAGGTGGTGCTTCTTAGCACCCTTAGGAGAAGGAGGGACATGCCCCTGGGAGGAGTGATCTATGTGCTGGTCCTGCCTGATGCTTCCAAATCAAGCTTCATAAAGATTTGGAATTAAAAGTGGTTCACTAAGTTCACAACTAATTTTTAGAAGAGTGATATTGAGTCCTCACAGCACTGTGTAAAGTGCAATGGTTTTTGCAGCAATTAGGTGTTTGGAGTAGTGAAAATAATTTGGTGCAACAGGTGCCAGCAATGCAATGTTAGCAGATTTTGGCAGTCAGTGCTAAATCGATTGTTTCTAATGCTGCACATGCTCTGGTTCTTGTAGGTGGGTGGAGAATTTGCCAGTATTGCGATCAACCAGATGAAGAAATATGGAAGGATTGCAGTCTGTGGAGCCATCTCTCAGTACAATGATTCTGTGCCTCAGAAAGGTGTGGGCCTGATCTATTGTGTCTAAACTGATTTTCTTTGGTGACGGTAGAAAGGCATAATGGGAGTCTGCTGTTTGTGTCCCTGTGCCATTTATCTGTATATATATGTGTACATTTGGGTAACTAACTGCTGCTGTGGGACACCGGGACCATGCTCTTGCACAGTAGACATGCATTCCTCCTCCTTTGTGCACACTATCTGGTGAACATCAGCTGATTAGAAATGAAGGAGWGGCTAAAATGCTTAGAACTCCACAGGGCTCTAAATAGATATAGATCAGCAGGAGACAGGTGTGGTATCATGCCATTTACACAGTAGTATATACCATAAGATGAGATAATAGTTTTCCTTCAGGTTTTTAGATGACACAGCTAAAAGATTTTGGTTTCTTTTTCCTGTAAGATTTGAACTACTAATGAAACTGCTGAGAAAAGTGGCTGAAATGAATACTCATTTTCAATAGCATTCTGTTTTCCCAGTTTGCCTTCTAGAAGAAATGGGAGGACTGTTCTCTTTGAAAGCTGATTTGCCTTGAAATATCTGATCACTTTAAAAGGATGGGACAGGCTTTTGAGGAARCTATGATTTTTATGATCAAGTTCTAGAGTTTATAACTTACATTCTGAGTGTTAGAGCATCACAGCCTGGTAAGCTATCAAACAAAGTGTTAAAACAGTATTTTTGAGATTCAGCTGAAGTTCTTCAAGTGAAGCTGAGGCCACTTTACTTCTGAGTGAAACTGTTTTCCAAAATGTTTAGCCCCACAGCTTTACAAATCAGGTCTTTGTTTTCCTAGGTGCCTGTCTATCCATGAATCTTTGGTCTTTGTCCTGGAAATTCTGTTTGGAAAAAAAATCTGTTGCTTCTGGCTGAAACAAAATGATACAGTGGTCTTCACTGGCTAAAAGCTCATTTTATTCATTGGGAATTATTCTGAATGAAACTGATATTGCAGGTGGCTTGCTGGTTCCATTCTTTTGCAGGGCCTTATGTGCAGGTTCCCATGATCTTCAAAGAGCTTCGAATGGAAGGCTTTATTGTGAGCCGATGGAACAACCGCCGGGACGAAGGTGTGAAGGCCCTGCTAAAGTGGGTCATGGAGGTAAGGAAAGAAGGGGCAGTTTTCTGTAAGCTTACTCACACTGCAGATTCCCTCTTTTCAGTAGGTCTCTTGTTATAGTTGTTCAGGTGAGGTCCCAGCATGACACTTTTCCCTAGTTTCTTGGGGACACTTAAATCATAGCAAATAGGCCTGATCCCTTCTGCTTTGTTGAGACCTAGAATATCAGCTTGTAGACAGATATATTCCAGAATACATGTAGGCTTTGAAGAAGCATGCTTCCAGAATAATTCAAAACATTTACCTGGTAATAAAGATTTTAATGTTTAGAGTAATTCCTGTATTTCTCATTCAGTCATTTGTAGTATGAGCCAGGATTTCTGTTGTAGTATTGTGCTGAAATTACTGGCAAGAATGAATTTCTATAGAATTGGGAGATGGTCTTTAAAGGGACTCAATAGAGAATTTAATATATTGTACTTTTCTAGATAGAAGCTGAGTTAGTAACCAAATTGGCTCRTGGCTGTGAGAAGTTTGTGAGTGTGCATACTAAAGGCTAAGAGGCTCTAGTTTCTACAAACACRAGGATTTGGGATGGATGAGCTTCTGATCATTGAATTTGCAATTCCATACCTGTGTATGGGTAGAGACAGGCCTGGCTTTGGGGAAATGATCACCTACCTGTTAATTGTTTGGAAACCAAGTTGCACTTTATCCTGGTCTATTTTTGCATCAGTGACTTTTGCTTCATATTGTGGCTCCATGTAAAAGGTTTTATGACAAAAGCAGATCCTCACAAGAGCCCACCTAGTTTYGCAGTTATCCTGATGTATGTGAGCTAGCATGTTTCAAATGAAACATACATGCTGGGGAAAATTTCGCTCCAATTTATTCCATTTTGGTGAATGAAAATTTAGCAATTTCCTTTCTTACTTTTGACAGGGAAAAGTGAAATACCATGAACAAGTCACTGACGGATTTGAAAACATGCCAATGGCTTTTATTGGAATGTTGAAGGGAGAAAATCTTGGAAAAGCTGTTGTTAAAGTGTGAAGCTCAGATATCCCTGGGAGAGTGGTGCAGAAGAATGTGATTCTGTTTAATGCTTTTAATTCACTTGTCAAATCATATGATCAGTATGTTTCTGTCTTTTTGCTGGATGTTTGATGATGGTAACTTCCATTAAAAATTTGGCTAATAAGTCTAAGTATATTCCAATTGCTTTGCTCTTGAAGAAATCAAGAGTTGCTTCCCAGAGTTATGTAAAAACAAATTGTGTTAAAATTGCTAAAAATCACAACTGTAACAGATTTGAAAGTAGCTTGAATCTTTCTATGAGCAGGCTTGTAGAAAGAAATACCAGTTTGGAAAGCTTTGGTGGTTGATGGCACATTTAAAGTTTACCCATTGATTTGGCCCAGAACTTGGGAAGAGGGATTTTTTTAACCAATATCAAGAAGCGTAGAACAAGCTACGCTAACAACACKTGGGGATTCCAGCGTCTTCTCTAGCTGGCTTTTTTTTTTTTCTTAAGTATTAAACAATGTAGATATCTCAGCTGTTCTGAGAATATGGAAAGGAAAAATAAATCTCTTAATCTATAGTTTGCTGGTGTTATAGTTCTGTTTGTAGAACACTCTSATTTCCTTGTGGGTTCATTTCATTCCTGTGTGGTTAATACAGAGGACCTAAAATATTACAAGTGCTGTTTGTCCCAGCAGATTTCAGTACAGATGATATGGATAAACCACTAATATCCTTGAGAAACTTGTTACTGGGTCCAAGCTTGGAGCTGACCTTGCCATAGCGTTCACCCTGTCTCTCCTGGAAGGTCAGATCACTATGATGGTCCTAGCTTGTTAAATTGGTGTCCAGCACACACAGTGCATCAAGCAAAGGAGGTCACACAGATTAGCAATACTAAATATCTTACACTTTCTGAAAAAAAAAACAGAACAAGAACCTGTTACTATGGTATATAGGCAGGTATTGAAGGTGGTGGTGATCCATTTTCAGTCACTGTGGTGGACTTCTTGGTAACTATTATGGTTTCATTACTGATCTGTGAAGAGGGATCCTAAGCAACCTTAACATCTTTGCAGTGCCAGAATTAGATGCTCTGTACGTCAACAAGAAGAGTTCACTTACTTAAGGTGTAGATTGACCAATACTTGCTGAGTGAACTGAACAAAACATACCCTTAAATACAGGTCAGCTGCCCACAGGGGAAATAATGAATCTTGGCACAAGGAGAGAAGAGGTTCTGGTAGGTTTATAGTGTTTTCTGAGGAGAATGAATTGACAGTTTGGGTTAGCTCCAGTGCTGTGGTTTTACTGGGGCTGCTGAGGAGGATCTGTGGATTAATACCACTGCAGAACATGGAAAGAGATAAACCAAAAAAGGAAACTTCTTTTCAGCATGCTTCAAAGTAGGGGGCTGCTGTTGTTTGGTGGCTTTTCACTGAGGAATTTTCAGAGGGCTTGCAAGTCCTGAAGTGCTAAATTGTTTAAAGTCTAGTGAATTAATGTTCTCTTGTTTCAAGTAAAGCGGTGATTTTGAAATGAACTAAGAATAGCTACATGGAATTCCTTCCTTTTGTCAGAGTTGCAGAAAGATTTGTCAGAATAATCCTGGCTCAACATGCTTCCTCCTAWAATACTGATCTGTACATTCCCTTGCTGTTTATAAATTTCATACTTCATAAATTGCAGTTAATKTTGCAAGGCTGTTTTACCATGAAAATATAATTTTTCTGTGTAAAACCAACACCACACACTTCTGAACTTCTCTGGGGAACAGTTAYTTCTTCTTGAAAATTCAAGTTTTCTGTTACACATCAAGCACACTGCCACCACATGAAGTATATCCCTCGTTGTCTGGCACTGTCTGGATGTCTTGCAGTGGTTTCTTACTGTGGTCTTGGTTATCCTCAAAGCTCTAAGGTTTATGAAACAATACCTGGATTTTTCCACATGTTGAAAATGAAAAGGGAATATTAAAAATTTTGGTTTTCTTCCTTGTGCCAGTTGCACAAGGTAGGACAAAGGTCTCTGTGTTACCCCCTGCTAGTGAAGCAAGATAATCCAGGATAATGAAGGTGAAGGTGGTAATGCCCAGCCAAGAACAAAGGTGCAGCAATGTGTTGCAGGGCTAGGCCTTTSTGCCAGTACATGGCTCTGTGTAGGGGCAGAGCATGGTTAGTACCATGCACACAGTCCAGCCTGTCTTGTGACATCAGCACAGGGTGTGTGAGTGGCAAATGCTGTCTGCCAGCAGACACCCCCCCCTCCCGAACATTATTACTTTGCAACTGAGGTTAAAGGCTTTCTGGGAGGTAGAGAGTGAGCTCCTGGTGGCCTCACTGGCTCGCAGAAGGTGTGCAAGGGTGTGCCTGGGGCTAGGTCCTCCTTATCACTACAGTTCTCAGTTGCATGTGTCCGCAGTGGTTAAAGGGTGTCAGCTCCGCCCAGGGTGCAGTGCCCATTCTTCAGTCACCCTACAGCTATGGCTGTGTTGATACCCATCTCTGATCTTTTTTGCTGCTTTTCTCCTGTCCACATGGTCGTGTTTGTGCCATGACATAAGTTATACTTCACAAGTAGAGGGCATTTTTTTGAGACTTTATTATCCCAGTTAATTTAGGATGTAATATATGAGAGAAAGAGTTTCTTTAATCTTAAATGTAAACAGCTGCAGGCACCATCATTTGTTGGCTAAATAGCTCTTCATTTATACATATCACTATTTGTAAAGTCGTGGTTTAACTGCTTAACACCTTATGCTTGCCTGTGTAAAATGAACCAATCTCTAGAGTGGAGGTGTTCCAGGCTAATAAATATGCAACTTTTGTGTCCTGTTCCTAACGACTGTCAAGCTGATGCTGGTGACAATAACTTGTGTTAATTCAGGACACAGTGAATATCCTCTTTGAGAAATTCACTATGACCTGCCACAGCAAAGGTGGCCTTAGGAAAAACTAGAAATTRTTGCAAAGTGCTGTGGGTTGTTGAAATTAGTGAGCTATCCCTGAAGTACATTGCTGCCTCTTGAACTTCTCTCATAGTCCCCCCAGAGTGAGTGGCCACAGGAAGGGTCATGAGACATCATTGCCCAACTACAGCATCCATTCTCAGTGAGATCTATTCCCAAGTTGGATCAAATCCAAAACCTGCCACCTTTGTGTAGCAGGTGTGCTGATGTAGCCTGTACTGAAGCAATCAAGACAAACCTCAGATCCTTTGCTTTTATCTTGCTCCCATGACCCATTACTTTAATTATTCATCTCACCCCATCTGCTTTAGACAGGTCCGTCACAGCTTAACTTGCTGCTGACCATTACCTACAGTGCAGGGAGATGTCTTCTGTCCCCATCCTCAGCCCATCATCACTAGCTCAGTGTGGGCTCAGCCTGTTACKAAGCTGAAAGCCTTTGGAGCAATCCTGCTAAATGGTGCTAAAACTGCACATTGTRTTTCCCTTATCAGCAGGTTTCACARTTCTGAGTACTGTTCATGGCATGGGTCCTTGCTCTCCCCCAGGTGCTTCTCTCAGAGGAACTAGATACATGGAAAAATGAAATACCTGCCTTCATTGTCTCCCTAGGGAAATGTAATGGACTGAGTCAAGTAGAGGGGACATAACCCAAGCCTGGTCTAAAACTCTTCCTCTACTATACTTTTGGACCCAATGCCAGGCTTCTCCAGGCCCTAGTCTGTTTATACCTCTGTCACATCCATGACAAACGCTCCAGTTCTTGTGAGATGGGCTGATRGTGCCACCAGGATATTAGTGCCACCATGCATTCCCTTCTAGCCCCTTACCTAGAGGTATTACCACCACCSCAGTGCTGTCAGAGTGGTACAAGCAAAAGGCATTCCCAGAGTCTGCCTGTCTTTATAGACACAGGTATAAAACCCACAGACACCCACAGCCACCGCCACCTTATGGTGATCAGCATGTCACAAGCTTGTGTTTGTCAGCTGCAGGTAGAGATAGGACTTAATGCAGCTCCCATTCTTTCCTCATCTTGTCTGTCTACCAACCTGGACCATCTCAGCTTTCTCTCTCCAGAGGAGGAATAATTTCGTTGCATGTGGGTATGCTCCCCCAACATGTCAAAAATTTTTTCAAGTTTCTCACACTCATCCAGTTGTTCTAATCAGGGTTTTGGTACTGGGGCGGGGCTGCAGGGGTGGCTTCTGGTCAGAACCAGAAGCTGCCACCACACCAGATAGCTCCAAAAGCCAGCTCTGTTTGATATCTGAGTTTAAATAAAAAAGTGTTAAACTTTTATTTATACAGCAGCAGGAAGAAAGGAACAACAGTACATGAGAAAAAGCGTAAGACACTTCCCCAAGGTCAGACTCTCCCATCCCTCACCACGGGCCAGGGACCACCACAACAGTCAATCCAGCAAGGATTTCAACAGCTTGCTCTCAAGCCAATTTCTTGGGTGGCTAAAAGTTGCATGTCAAAAGAGCACAACACAGAGGAGATGCTATGCTACAGTTGGTTGGCATTGGTAAAACAATAGAAGCCATTTTTTTTAGCTTGGTAGATCCAACTAGTTTTGATGTACTAATAGTTAAGAAAGTAAACATTAAAATTATTACCAATACACTTACTGAAATCATTACAGCAGGGAATCAAAGTCTTCTGGTCAAGGAAAGAAAGGAAAGCAGCTGGAGTTGAAGTAAGCTGACTGCCTCAAGAGATCGAAGAAACGTGGGTGTTAAGCACCCCATGTGCATGACATACACAAGTTCCCAACAGTCCTTTCAGAATCCATGGATGGAAGCGAGAGAAGTGTCACTGTTCCACTGAGATCTGATCATGCACAGCTCCCTTGTCCACTCACCATAAACCCTTGGCCCTTCCTTTCACATTAGCTAGTCCTCTCTCATTAAGCCTAGTTATTCCAGCTATGTGTTTTAATGCTGCACTCAAGGAAGTACTTCTCTTCCTGTTGGCCAGCCCATTACAAGCAAGCTACAYAACAGGCCTGCAGACAGAAACATCTTGCTTTTCTTGTTTGACAGCAAGGCACAGATCCCAGCTATTTCGTAGCCAAATGACACAGACAGCAGTCATTGCCTGAGGGGAGATCTTCTTCCTGAGACACTTATTCCCAGGAGAAAGCWTTCTATGTTTTTTGCTTCTCTGCCATGTACATCGCATTTACAAAACATTCAAGTCAGGTGGCATCTACCACTTCCTTCTTAGAGGCATCTTCTCAGATCACTGGATCAAAGCAGCCAATTTTGTTCATGCAAGCAGCAGAATACAGTTTAATGAAAGAGCAAATGCTATGCTACYGCCTGGCACATGGCAATAGTGGCCTCACACCTTCACACAAAAACAAGCAAAAAAATGCATCCACTGACCTGTCTATGAAGTATGATTACTTAATATCCATGTGGGAGAGCACATGGCTCTAGGCTTTAGCAAGGAGACTCATACCCATTGCATTTAGAACAAAGTAATTATTTGCTATACCTAGGCTTGTTAAAGGCTTAAACACCCTGTCCTTGCCTGTTGAAAGATTCAAGCCAGCTCCCAATCTGAACTGGGGTTCTCTCCTCCCAGCAGGGGCACTTTTGCTCTAGGAACCAAGGCTCTTATATATAACCAGAACAAAGCATAGGCTTTGCTTTCCATCRCCCATAATGACAAGGACGAACTACAAACACTCAGATTCTGGTTTAACTGTGCATTTGATGAGCATGGGTTGTTTAATTTAAAGAAACAGATATCCTCRCTGCATATTCATCAAAGAGACAAGTCTTAAAGAACATCTTTCAAATTAGGCTATGCAAGTTATTCTYCTCACAGTATGCCCACATGCCAGTTCTGGGGAGGGGAACATACTGTGGCACAGGAAGCTGAACTCACTGCCCTTTCAAGAACAGCTTTGCACCCTTTGCTTCAGCACAAGAGCTATTCCAGCTATTCTGGTCTTTCCAATTAATGACTTGAATTTCCAGTCACTGTCACCTGGGTTGTCCATGCTTACTGCATAGTAGCATCTTATTAAAAAAGTAAACTAAGTGTTGCATCAAACTCAACACACAAGCAGCAATGCCCCACTGGCTGCACCTTTCCCCTGCTGTAATAGACAACCTGGTCTGCCCTCACCTCAGCAGAAACACCATAAGTTGCAGCACACACCACTATTATTTCCAAAGGATGAAGTGGGATGCTGGGGCCCCTTACTGAACTTCACCTGGAACATTCAGCAAGAATTTTTTTAAACAAAATTTTTTTTTTAAAATTTTTAAATAATGCTTGCTCACACTGACTGCCCAGAGGGAGTAAGTAGGCCATGCAGACACTGCTTTCAAAAGCAAYGCTTATTTGCAGATGGTGTGGTGTTAATAATGCATGCTCGCTCCAGCTTAATTTTATTTTCTCCTCAGGTCCATTGCACTTCACTAGTGATGTCCCATTTACCTGTGAAGTTGTTCAAACACACAGCTACACTTCTCTTAGTCAAACAGGCAGATCCTGCATAGAAAGTATTTCCCATGTCCTTCTCATTGCATAACCACAGAGGACAACTCAGAGCTTACGTCCAAGGAGAACCCTGATGGCTCAWCCTCAAGCAAAGGGTGTGGCCACTGCTKGGACTTGAAAAATCTTGTTTCAAATTGGGAACATAGACATTAAGCTGTTCAAGGCCCCCAGTCCTCAAGAGCCATGAAGAAACTCATGCATGCTTGTGAAGTGAGTGTAAGGCTGAGTCACGGGTGAGCTCCCTACCACAAAGACAAGAGCTCACTCATTCCACATTGTCTGCATATGCAGCAGGAAGTCTTGCTTTTCTGTGAGTGATACTCAGTGAGCAGCACAGCTTAACAAGTCCTACCCACTGCTAGCTACAGCCYTGCTCTTTTGTTTACCAAGTTTTTATGCAGGACAACTTCCAAGCCAGCAGGGAAGCCATTTTGATACAGGGGAAAAAAAAAAAAAAAAGCCAGAACCAATCCTCCTTGCTAACAGCACCAAGAGTAGGTGAATGGCAGATAAAAAAGGCTGACAGGTCAGCACTCCTCTAAACAGCCTGATTCAGGATTGGAGGATCACAGAGTCCAGTCCACTGTCCACCACAGTGCCATCAAATGAAAATTACAAGAGTATTTAAATATAAATTCGCTTGAGCTTCAGATAATACAAGTTTTACTTCTTCAGTCATTTGTGCCAGAATATTGCCTAGGAACAAAGCAGCCAAACTCAGAYTGAAGATAGTTTGTTTCCAATACAACCAGAAGGTACATACATTAATGCCAAGGCAGAACTGAAAAGGCAAAAAGGCAGCAAGTCCAAGTCTTATCTTGTACTTCCATAGTAGGATTGGCACTATGATCTGGAAGGACAAGATTTAGCTTTGAAATCTAAAAGGAAACTTCAAACATTTTAAAAGTATTTAAACTAAAAAGAGGTAACAAAAGAAAGAACTATCCCACCCAGTGCCATCCTCTTTTCTCCAACTCTCCTTTCCATATTTGTAAATCAGATGACAGCCTGGTGACTACCATCTGAGTAAGGAGGCAGCAGACTTCTAAAGCAACTGCCATTACTATCCCACACCAATTAYAGATCAGTTGCCTTTGACAAATCTTTGTATCCAGACAGTACTCCTTTAACACAACGAAACATGACACCCAACTGGTATTATGAAATTTTTAACATTTTCATTGAACACACAACAATATGCAAAAGTGAAGAGTTTATACTTTATTGTACTCATTTACATGGACCAAGAACATAGTTYGCACCACTTAATCCAGCTAGCCTGTTTTTTAATAGTAGAAAAGTTACAGGGTGTAATTTAGCCAAAGCAGTCATGTTTTCATGGCTGGAGATTAGAGTAGACTTTTAATGGTCTCTTCCAGCTTCTCTTTATTGGCCCCAGAGAACTCCTGCACCTGTAAAGAGAGATTGACTCTTAGAACTCTTGCATTCAATACTTATTAACATTAATTGCATAACATCCGGTCACATACATGCCTATTTAACTCTGCTAAAAACTAAAGTTTTCCCACCCTCAAAACAGGGAGCATTTTGCAGTTCATGTATTTATTTCCCACTCAACTCATGCAAAAGTTGAGATAAAAATTTCATTTCCAGATTACCACTGATCCTGAATTAATATTGTGTAAGGCTCAAATAGAGACTTGAAGAGACTCTGAAAGTTCCTATGTATCAGAAGTAGTCACTTTGAGTTGCTCAGGACCCTACTGATCAAATTCTGGAAGGACTACCAAATGTCCTACCCCTGTACCTGGCTTCTCCTGTGAGAACTGTTCTTCTTGCAGACTACAGGGCAAAAAGTTAGAGGAGACATTMATCTGCTATCTCAAAAACGGTAGCTCTGTGTTCCTTTATCTRTGGGGGTATAAGGTACAGAGCAGACTACAGGCCATTAAACTGCTTGCTTGACATAAAAAGCCACACATTGACTGTTAACCTGTAATCACAATTCTTCCAATAACATCATGAGGCTGCAGAAGTTCATCCTAACAGAACTGTCAAAGGCTCATACTGACTCCATACTGAACTGAAAGTTACCCTATGTGTGACACTCAACTATCCAAGGGGCAATTCCCTTCCCTTCAGCCACAAAACTTACTGTTTTCCTTTAGAAAAAGGAAAGCAMTGTTTTCCTTTAGAAAAGCCTACCTTCACCTTAGGCAAACTAAAAGCCTAAGACAACACCATCTAGCTCAGCAAGTTCAGGCACAGAGCTAATCAAACTAGCCTTGCACAGGCAGCCCACCAGGCTGTCAGAGCACAGTCTGCATCCCATCTCATGTGTCTCCTGGCACAGCAGGTACAAGAGTTTGCTCAGTCCTCTGCTCAGGGACAGGACTTTCACTTCAAAGGTTAAACAGCCTCTATGTGAAGCAAACCAAACAGCTTTCTTTTGTATATAACCTCAACCAGGTTGGAGACTTCTATTTAGGTGGGATTCCATAGGCACCCATAATCATGTCTCTGCTTGAACATAAGCTGCATTCAGATAACAAACACTAATTAAGTGAAAAATAGGGTGCWATGCAGATAGATCAGCAGCCTTAACCAAGACATCTCAGTACACTAYCTCTCATGAAACTCTGCCTCTAAGATTGACCTGTAACACTCAGTTCACTACCTGTGAACAACAAAGTTTGCATCACCAGTTAACACTGGTCCATGTTACATTTGCTGCAGTGCTAAGATGAACTTGCTTGCTCTCASGAGTGTCTTAATGCTAGTGGTGCCCCAGAGACACAATCAAGAGAAAGCAGACTAAGTGGTCCAATATCCCAATCTTCTTTCAAGAAGAAAGCTTGCGTGCTCCAAAACAGCAGAGCCTACCTTCTTTCCACCCTTGTAGAACTGGAACGTTGGCATGCACTTCACATCGCAGTTTGTAGCGACATCCTAAGAGACAAAAAACAATCTTCAACTGTGCATATTCTCAAGGATGTTAAATTTAGAACTCACTCTAGCTGACTTCTGTTTAGGTGACACGGTAAAGCCAGTACTGTTCAAGATAAAGCAAAAGCTCTTCTGTTAGTCCATCACTAGCAAAACCAGTGCACTGTTAACACTTCCATGAAGCAAGCCTTAAAGATTCCCTCTGCAACATTTAATTCATGCAATAGCAAAAACCTTAAAATATATGTGTGCTGTGTTTATTAATAAACAGACCTCTGCATCCAAGAAGATGTTTGTTCGTAAGACTCAAGAGCCCTATGGCAACTTCTGGTCTTCCATGKGACATTTTTCAAGTAACTATTTGACAATGCTGGAACTGCAATATGGCAGACATTTTATTGCACTTAATTCAAGACCTAATTTAATTTGTAATGAAAGAGCAAAAGTGCCAAGAGCAGTGGAGGGACCAGACAGATCAGTAGGCTGTGAACCATTAGGTTTAAGGAAGATTGCATCAAAGCAGCTTGAGATCTTAGACTAACACWCCCTTCCAAAGTAAAGGGTCAGTGCTCCCAAGTTATCCAACACATGCCACAGGACTTCAAGTCTGCTGATAACCAAGGCAGTTCTGTTCAGGTATTCTTTGACAAAAATAATTTTTTCCAGCTAAATCCCTATCTCAATTTTAATTTTAAGTTGAAGTACACTCTTGTTTTGTTTCAGCATGGATGAAGACATTTTGAAAAGAATTCTCCCCTGTCATTTATATGAAAGCCTTTAGCTGTCCTCCCTCAGCACCACCYCAGACCTTACCTGGGCATCATCCACATCGACTTCTATGAAGATCACATCAGCATACTTTTCACCCAAACCCTAGAATGGGAGAAAAAAAAAACAAAAGCTGTACTGTTACAGTGTTCCAGGAATGTTTTCTTTGAAAAGATGCATTAATACAAATTGAAGGGCTGATGCTGCTTAACCCCATAGTGAAACATCCTTTATTTACTACCTTAATTACATACTTGATTATGAAAGCAGATATTTTACTATCAGAGCAAAAATTTTCTGTTTTGCTCCGAACTGTTTCTGGAGGAGTCTGTTGAAACATGTTCTCCTCATGTTCTCAAATATCCAGAGATAGGTGGAAGATCTTATGCAGCCTTCAGCTGATCACCAAAACATGCTACAGCTTCTGTCTTCTATAGCTACACWCTTGATCAGGAGATAATAGGGCCACTGAAAAGCAGCTGGAGAAGTTACATTAACTGTGTACAGCAGGATAAGCATTGTTTCCTCTCTATATCCCACTTCTTGAAGCAATACAACTGGCAGGTCTCTATGGACCTGAAATGCATGTAAGCACCAGAACAAAAGCTAAACCCCATTTTACTTCCCAGCTATATCAAAGGTCAGACTATTTAACTTTGTAGTCTTAAAAACAGACACTTCTGCAACTTCCCCCTTTTCCAGAAAATGCTGGCAGTCAAAAGGCAAAAGCAACTTCCCTCCATGTTATTGTCAAGCAACACAAAAACCTTTATATAGAATTTAATGCAGAAATAAACCCAGARGAACTACTTACGTGGAAAAAGGGCTTGATCATTTTGCATGGTCCACACCATGTGGCAGAGAAATCAACTACTATAAGCTTCTCACCAGCAGCCTGCAGTTCTGCCTCAAATTCAGCCTACCAAAAAAATAAAAACCAAAAATTGAACACATTAATGATTTTCCCCCTCCCTTCCTAAATGATAGAAGACTAATCCGAATGCTGGCTTGCTCTTAGGCCTAACACAGTAATCATTATGGCAGCTCTTTAAACACTTTTAACTGGGTTATTTGTACCATCATGTAAGTGCTTCAGTATGAATTGCTCTCTTTGGTGCTAGAAGCAGCCAGTGTCTTACGATTCTTCACTTAGAAAACAACCACAATGCCCTGTCAAACTCACTGAATTGTGGAAACATAAGCTAGAAATTCTGTAGTTATGATGCTCTAATCTCACAGCTCTGTGTTATTCTCAAAATGTTATCCTTGCAGTTTTTTATAATCCATATTCTAATTTCTTGGCAGTAAGACTCTCATTTTCTTCTGAGACAGACTTTCCTCTGGAGAATTTGAAAAGGACAGACATAAACGTTTATTCAGTCCTCAAGTTCTGGTGTCTTTTCCAACCAATAGCTAACATTAAAATGATATAGTGTGGTTTACTCTAAAACATGTTTTCCAAAGCAACCTTCATAGGATAGTAATTTTACTTACTTTGCCAAGTGAACCACATTTGACATCACTAGCCAAAGCAATGCTACCCATACAGAATACACAAATTATCACCCAACACTTTTTTGAGTCTTCAAGTCTGTGYGTTGCACTTAGTCACACCAATCATCTCTGGACAATGCTCCTTGGAACTTAACATCCTTACATGCCATTACTTATTTTTGATGGTCAAAAAGTGAATACTTCAATAGAACTGGAAGACTTTAAAAGCAGTAAGTACTTGCATGCTAGCAAAAGTATCTCAGGCAGATGCAGAAAGTGTTGATCACCTACTTTCTGACAGTGTCTTTTTCAAAGAAAGTACAAGCCACTTCAATGATTTTAAACTTTGTTGTCTTGACAATCAAGCTTCAGGAGAGCTGTTAATATAAACTTCAAAATATAGCTCCTTTATTCTCCCAGCCTAACAGCAAAGCAGTGGAGTTTTGTCAGCAAGAGCTGACTGAAAGAAATATGGTTACTGCTATATGGTTTGTTTTGCAGTGCAGGAAGAGAACTTATTCATACCAGCTTCTGCAATCAGCCACAAAAAGCTGAGACCTGACTCTAGGAGGCTAAAGAATGTCGTGCAGGTGAAGAGCCAAAAGTGCACATRGTCAAACTGGACAAAAGTATATTTAACAAGCAAGCAGAGATCCTGCATGAGCATTCTAATGTATGTATAATCCTATGTAAAACTCTCCACAGCTTCCTGTAACTTCAAATACACCSAGCATTACATCTCCCTGTTGACAGACAGCCTTCATGTTGGTTTTTCCATCCTTGCATCTTGGACTGTCTACTCTCTTGCATCTCCACAGTCTACTCTGCTAAAAGATCATAGTAACACTTCACACCACCTACTCYCATTCTGAAAGAGATGGGAACAGCTAAGTTTTCCTGTCTCCCAACATTCCCCTACTCCCATACTGACACAGGATGCATTCCTGCACCAATTCCCACCAACAACATTTAATCTCTCTGTAGACAGCAATCCAYATTTACTGCTCCCTCCCACTACTTATATCATAAGTTCCTCAWTCAAGCCTCACTCCTTTTGGCCCTGAAATCCTAATATTGATGTTTGGTACAGCTTCTGAGACCTCTGCACTGTAACATTACCACTCTATTGATTCCAATTCCCGCAGCTGCCAGTCAGACCATCCTCTTTTAACCCGTAAGTCTCCTGTCCAGCTACATAACTACAATATTCTGCAAAAGGAAGCCCAGCCCTGGAATGTGTTTATCAYATGGCCATACACCTCAGGTGTGCTCTTGTACAGAACAAAGGGAAAGTGGGAGGGCATTGTAATTACAGCTGGTCACATTACATTCACCAGTCGTGACCTGGTCCTGACTACAATCAGGCGTTACCCTGCAAATCATCTCTACTACCAGCCAAAGCTGCTGGAGGACAGTGAAAAGATATGCTGGGTCCAAAGGTACTACACCTGCAAGTTAAAAATCATTGAATGAGTGAGAAGTTCTAGAAGTTTTTCTAGAGAGCTTAATTTCCCTAGAGGAACGAAGACAGTAGCAGGAGCAAAACAAGCTGCTTGACCTGTCCAACTGACTTCCATAGTTATCCTTCAGGTTAACTGTAAAGCGACAAGCTTTCATATAAAAAAACCAAATAACCTCTTTACCAGAAGGGGAACCTCCCACAACAAGACCATTTTGTCAGGCTTTGAGATAATCTTAGAGCTTTGTTAAACAATGTTTTCCTCAGGTAGCAGCTGGGGAGCAGCAGCAGCAGGTTTGGGGGAAACCTCAGCTAACGTGCTGGTTAATACTGGTTTGTCCTTTTTCTTTTTTTTTGTTTTTTCTTTAACTACAACCTCCCTGAGCACACACAAGACCTCATTTTGCTTGTATTGTTGTCCAGCAGAAAAGGGCATTCTGCCTTCAACAAAAACACTTGTAGCAGGCATCTGTTCCCAAGGGCCAATTAAGAAGCTCTAATAATGAACACCTCTAGTGCCTCAGAGGTTCCTGGCACCAGGTAATACCTCAAAATGGACTCCGCTAGCCACAGCTGCTGAAAGGAGTCGGCTGCTCTCAGCAACAGATAAGATAGTGTAGGCCTACCTGGCAGATTTGATTAAAGCTTGGCTGTAAAAATTATTTTCAACACATATCAAGTCACCCTTGAACTTGCTCAGTCATCAGCTGACTGCCAATGGTTACTATGTAATTTAGTGAGGGTTTTCAGAAACAGAAGCTAGCATAAACAGACCAAAGGTTCGACTGCCTGAACTCTCTAGCAGACAGTGCTTCTCTATCACCTGTAACTGACGCTGCGATTTTTCAGCATTTTCTTTAACTCAGATAACAAAAGAGAAGCAGCTAGAATGAGGAGGAACACTTTGGCAGCACCAGCTTTTTAAGTTGATACACCCATTACCTCCTGCTATGAAAGGCAGTATGTCCCATTGTCAAACCCTCTTACAAACCAATCACTCATCTCCAGGCCACTACAAAGTTACCAAAATATTGCTCCTTTTGTGCAGATACTACAACAGGTACTGTGGCAGGTACTACAGAGGAATCAGTCAAACACCCTGAAAGCAGCCATTTTTTAGAAGCTAGTCTGTTTCTGAAAAGGTATGTAGGGGCATTTAGCTGGCTGTCCCTCATAAAAGCTCTTGCAGACAGTGCAAGAACGGGTTTTCCCTTTTGTATCAGAAGAGAATACAAACCAGCTTTACTGAAAACCGGAATTAATCCAGAAATCGTAGCTGCACTATACTTGAATACTCTGGGTGTTGCTGACATTAAAATCTTGTTGTCAGCATGACTGTTGAGTCCACACTCTCCACGGATGAGCAACAAAACTGTGCTTTAACTACAGCCAACTATTAATGAATGCCCATAGTTAGGAGGACACTGGAAGCCTAGCTAGCTCAGGCTCTGGCTCTCTTCCTCCAGAGCCAGGTTAGACTCTCCACGTTTAATCTGTTCCTGCATATAACAAGAGCCTCAAACCTTTCTCAAAAAGTTTTCCCCTCCCGTGCCTCCATAAACAGAGAAGAGATGCAAAGCAGAACAACAGTTTCAGGTTGCATTCACACACTACTCTCTTTCCACGAACTGAATGATAAGGCAGTTAATTCATCTAAAGGAGTTTCCGGCTTGGAGAAGTGGTCACAAGTGTTAGTTTGTATATTTATGTATCAGACGTTAAAACCTTTGCGGTCCAGTGGGAGAAGTCTGACATGATTWTAATTTACAAAGTGGGGTGACTGTAGAAGAGCACCGCCTAGAAGACAAACTCAGATGTGTGAGAGACTGGGAAGACTGAGGTCTTGAAACATTTTGGTGTGCATAAGTGTGAGGAAAGGGGCAGGTCAGGCCTTGCTCTGACGAGGCAGTGCATTGCCCCATATCCCCAGCCCTAGAGMCTGTATCGCAGCCCCACAGTGGGACACACACAACCACGGACACAGTGCAGGCAAACAGGTATTTAAGACCAAACACACTGCTAGCACCAGTCTAGTGTCTTGACCCCACCTCTCCTTGCAATTTCTATCTGCTGAACACCGCTGGGATCCAGGATTTCCTTTTTCTGTATATTTTCTGTCTTCTAATTCCTTCTCAGCATTTTTGAGCAACTTAAAATCAAACTGGCTTAGAGTTTAAGAAGTTGCTTCTTTGAGAAGTGCTTCATGTTGACTGAGTGTTGCTCTATACCTTTTGCCAAAGTTCTCTGATTTTCCAAAGTTGCAAGTAAAGTCTTTTTGTAGTTTTGACCTCTTGAGATTATGTTGTCTGTATCTCTCCTCTGCGTCTAACTCAGAGCACATGAACAACTGTAAGCCCCGTTAAAAACCTCACCAAGCGAGTTTTTTTGGGCCTTACAGGATGCCACACAGCATCACTCACAGAATGCCTCAAAATGAGATCAAACTGACACTTCCACCAAATTTCAGGTTCAAAAGGCGAGACAAGCCCAACAGGACTTTTCCTGAAACGAAGAGCTTGCTACATATGCACAGAGAATATTTTTTGAGGTTTGGGTTCCTAAGTTACAGCTAACAAATACTCTATTGTTGTCTATTAACCACATCAGCTGCTGTGCACGAGACCACATGCTATTTCATCACCAGCAGGGTATTCTCCATGCGGTGGTCCAGCCTTTACTACTATTCAAAGTCTCAAGGCCACAAATGTGTTTGCACTCACAGAATCATCCAAACAATGATGTGCTGCATTAGCGTACTGAATATGTCAGACAGCACCACAACCAGGGAAATCCTTCTTGTGCCAGCAACTCCTGCTGTTTAAGCATGAGGAATGGGCTCTAGCAATTCCTTTCAAGTCAAGAAAACTGGATTCATTTTTCCATGCTCTCCTATCCAGAAACACAACAGAACTTAGGCCAAACTCTAAGAAAGCCACCTGGCCCCCTGTACGCTAGCAGTCCCTACAAAAAGCAAATCGGGACATCACGGTATTGTATCACAGAACCACCTACGCTGGAAAAGACCTCAGAGATGGAGTCCAACCTGTGACGGAACACCACACTGTCAACCAGACCACGGCATTCACTGCCACGTCCTTCTCAAACATCTCCRGGGACGGKGACTCCACCATCTCCCTGCGGAGCCCATTCCAACGCCTAATTACGTCTTTTAAGAAATTCCTCCTAATGTCCATCCTAAACCTCTTCTGACGCAGATTAAGACTGCGTCCCCTCCTCCTGTGGCTAGGGCACCCCGGCTGTTACCCGCTTGAGCAATAAAACCTTTTCCTTAAGACTTTAAAGTGCGATAGGGARCAACCTGTCATACCGTGAAATTACATCACCTCCCTGTCCATTCCGATCACCCGAAGCCTCAGGTCGCGCAGTTATTTGTTCCCTCCCCGTGGTCTGACCCGAGCCCTCCGCGCGGTTTCCCTCATTCCCGCCGCATGGGCTCCGCCTGCCCRGGCAGCACACGGGCACTCACCCGCCATCTCCCGCAGGCCGAGGCCTCTCGGGAGCCCAGGATAACCCGAGCAGGGTGCCCCGCCTGCCCAGCTGCCCCCGGCAGCGCTCCCAACCCGCTCGACCGCCCGCCGKGGAGGGGATGCTCGTCCCGCCGCCCGTCCCTCTCACGGCCAAAGGATATGGCCGCCTCGCCTGTCTGACTCACCAGGCTTCCCACAATCTTCACCATGGCGGCGACCGCTGGGAAAGGAGGGTCGGTGTTTTAAAAGCAAGAAACCAAGAGACTCGTAGCTGCGCTGCGCGCCGCTTCCTCCCTCGCCTCCCGCCGCCCCAACGCGTCTCCCGCGCCGCCCCTGCCGCCCTTTTATCGCCAGCGCCGCGCCGCGCCGCGCATGCGCAGGGCCCGCCCCGCCTCCTGCCGCCCGCTGCGCGCCCCCGCCCATGGCGCCCCGGGGTCGGGGGGGCCCTGCTGAGGGGAGCCGGCGAGGAGGCCAGGCGGGARGGCTAGAGAGCGTCCCTGCCGGCGGCCGGGGAGAAGCGGCAGCCGGGAAGGCTAGAGAGCGTCCCTGCCGGTGGCTGGGGAGAAGCGGCAGCAGCAGCGGAAGAAAGGAAAGCCCAGGAAGGTTGGAAAAGTGCTGTGTAATGATGAGCAGGAAGTGCTCCGGCCCCCCCGCGTCCCCCGCGGAGCAGCTCTGTCTGACGCGCGCTTTGCTCGCCTTACGAGAAGGGGAGCTGGTGTTGCCCGTAGTGCGGCCAGGGCGCGGCTGCTGCAAAGCTGGTGCAAAGCTGGAAGGTTAGGAATACACCACGGGAATATTTTTTTTTTTTTAACCCCTTTTTGTTTTCCTTCCCACTACCAAAAGCACGGAGCAGCCCCGTTTCTCTGTGGGTGGCGGGCCTTTCTGCAGCGCGGAAGGCTCAGCGACACGAGGGATGCCAGCTCGGGGTAAACTTTAGCTSTATCCCGTGGCTTCCCTCAGGAAGGGACTCAACCAGGACGAGCGAGACTCCCCACAGWAACAGCTCAGCTTTCCCAGCCGAGGGGTTTCTGTGGTGGAATCTTAACTTYCCATCTATCTCGTTTATTTCTGTGTGTTTCGGAGACATCCTTTGTTTTACCACGCGCTGCACCACTGCCCACTCCACAGGGCAGATCAGGGCTGCCGCAGACCTCCTTTGCTTCTTTTGAGCTGCTAGGATTAAATGTTGGCCCTTGGAGGTTGCTGAATCCAGCTCCAACTGCACAGGAGAGTTTACATTTTAGGATACTGGTGCCGGGTGTGTTACTAATAGCTGTTTCTTCATATTTTAGCAGCTGGGTTACCAGCCTGTGGAAGAGTTTGCTCTGGGATACAGCTGARCAGAGGATGGGAAGACTTTAGTGCAGGCCCTGAATAAAAACCATGCTTCGTCCTTAAAAAGAAAAAGAAAACACAGTTTGGCTTGGATACAAGTTCTAACCCATCCCAACAGGATGTGCCCTCATATTTGTTTATGGTGGAAACTGAGTAAGTAATTTTTTATTTTGGAAGTTTAGTAAGTGTRTGGCTCACTACAGCCACAGAACTACTAAGCTCTCTTTTGGCCCTGTGGTTGCATCCCGTTTGCTCAACTTTAGTTGTGCCGTAGCAGGTCACCTCCTGTCTAGCTCTTTCCAKACCAGGTTTTGCCTGCCTGAAGCGCTTTGGATGCTACTCTCCCTGCTTGYTTGATGTCATAAGCATCCCTTTTTTTCTTTGCTAGCATCATCACAGGAGCCTGGATGCCTGTGGGTGAGAAGCAGCACCATGAAGGCTTGCTGGCTTCTGCTGGTTTTCAGATTTTCTTCCAGCTTCTTCCAGCTGGTCCGTGCTTGTCCCTTTGTCCCTGTGCCCTGTAGCTGGCAGAAGCAGCTGGTACATGTGTGCTGTRCAGCTTTGAGGGAATTCAAATGCTGCTGCTGGCTCAAGAGAAAGTAGGAATTCCTCATCAGGCACTATGGAATGTCTCATTGTTTAGATCAACAGTGCTGTAACTGTCCTATACACACAGTCACTCAASCACAGGGGTCTCAGCTTCTCATGTGCCCTCACTCCCACCCACCTTCCTCACAGCCACAAATGCAACATACTCCTCTCCCCCAGGTTGCTGGAGAGTGGATGTTAAAAATACGCAAGTTTACTTGTAAAGAGAAGTTGTAAATCACATGAATTTTATGCACGAGCAGACTGCTATATGATGTGTCATACCCAGGAGTCACTTGATAGGATGGTGGCCAATTGGCAAGTGCAGGGGGAACCAGGAAGCACTTACAGACACTCAGGAAGGTGTGTTTGCTTGCTTCTAAAAGTCAGAAGCAAGTCACTAAATGGAGGAACAGAGTAAAGGTGCAATGTAAGCTTAAAAAATCAGTCCAATTTCTCTTGCAAAAGGTCTGGAGACATACAAATGCCTGTGCCACTCATGCACAATAAGTAAGTATATATTGCCACAATCCTTGAATATGTGGAAGGCATGTGGGAGAGGAAGATGGCTCGTCTAAATTTAAGTGCCCTCAGGGGAATTAATCAGTACCATATAGGTGTAAGGTGCTATGCCATGATCCTCACAAAAATCCAGATGGGAATTAAATAAAAATTAGTCTTGTTTTAGTCACCTTTAAAACTCCTGTGATAGAAGGCGTGCCTTTTTTTTTTTAAACTTTCCTTGTGCTGATTTCTGTTACTTGTTACGTGAGAGCAACATGTGCCAGCAGTAGGGAAGAGCTTCACCCAGAGTTGTAGGTACACTCAGGGTTGTGCTCAGGATCAAACTTGCAGTAAGTTTGGGAGGCTGAGCAAATTACATTTTCAGTTTATTCTGAGCTGCTGTGAGAGGTTGGAAACAGGGTAGGAGAGGTGGGCAGCAGTAATCCCTGACAGGATGACCTGTTAGGCAGCTCATAAATCATGGTGTTCATCTGCATAAATGAGCTGGAGCTGTGACACATGATCCCAATGTGACACCCCCACATGGCTTTCCACATCTGTTTACCTGTCTGCAGCCAAGGGCAAGCTAACCTACTGGGCTTTGGGAGCATGAATCTGCTTTCCAGAGCTTGCTGTTGTCTTTCCTTCTTTGTGTGCCAGTGCATGTTGATGGCTGGAGGAAACACGATTTAGTGGTGAGACCCAAGGTAGGCTGGACATCCTCAGTGTGGCACTGCAAAGCATTAACCAGTGCAAAGCCTRCCCTTGTTGCTTTGGATTCTGACACACAATTGTCACTCGTGCCATTTCCCCAGACGTGCAATGGAGAGTGAGGAAGGAGAAAAATAAGGGGGAAAAAGAAGAGGAAGAACAAAGGAAATGGAAAAGGAAGAAAAGYTGGAAATGAGATCTAGCAGGTTGTACTAACTTCTCATGAGTTAATCTTTCCAAGCTCCCATGAGCATATCTAAAAGACAAACTTCTGTCTCTCCATACTACTATTAAGTCTCCTGATCACTCAAATGTGTCATTCAGTAAAAGGAACAGCTGCAAAGATAACACCACTAYAGCCATAGCCCAGATACTCAGTCATGCCCAACATTAAAAAGTGGTGCAGACAGTTGCAGAAATGAGGAAGCTGCTGTAGGCAGCAACTCCAGTCACAGCAGCATCAGATGGTACCATAGGAAAGCCAGGTTATTTGCCAGTGTCTTAAAATAGAAATCGAGAATGTTACACCTGGCCCTGACACTGCAACAGAGCAATAGTCTTTAATTGTACTTTTCCTTTCCCTCCAGCCTGTCCTTCTGGAAGATTTTGCTTTTGTAACTGCCTTATTAAAGTCAGTGCAATAAATGTTTAATAATTGGATAGGTGTGCTTGGTGTTGTGCCAGCGTAAGTCACAGAGGAAATATACTTCTTTCTCCCTCCCAGGCTGATGTACTACAGATGTAATTGCCCAGAACCCTTGATGTAGCACTTGGTTAGAAATGAGAGAAGTTGAGTAAAATGTGAGAAATAGAAAAGGAGAACAAAGTTCATCTCCCTTTACCATAGGGGAATGTTGATTAACAAATCTTTTCTGGGAATCAGGAAAACATCCATGTACTTCCCTCACACTCATTTTTGTTTTGTTTTTGGTAAGGGGAATGCTGCTGAATCTGTCTGTGCCCAATGTCCCCTGCTGCCACTAAGGAACAAGACTTTGGGGAGCAGGAAGGTATTACAAGGCTCTTGAGCTTGAGGACAGCAGTGGTCTAAGAGGAAAAGGGAATTTCAAGGCTGCCAGAGCATGAAGCTGAAATTTAGCACTTTCTGTTTGCTTATGCTGGGTGTGTGCAGAGTGGGGGACCAAGATACTCCTGGAGAGGAGATGAGAGATTTTTGCTTTTCTGGGGATATATTCATTTTCACATTCTTTTTGTCTGGGGGACAGCATCTGGTGATTTGGCCTGATCATAGACAAACACTGGTGTTTCAGGACCAGCTATTGCACGCRTGGAGATGTCTTTGAGCAAGCAAGCCATGAGGGATAAGGTTGTATGGGATGTCTACACGGAGGACAAAACGTCTGGAGTGTATTTTGCTTCCACGTGTGGCGGRTTGACCTTGGCTGGCCACCAAAGYCACTCTATCACTCCCCCTTCTGAACTGCGCAGGGGAGAGAAATTATAACAAAAATCTTTGAGCTGAGTTAAGGATGGAGAAATCACTCTGCTGTTACTGTCATAGGCAAAAGAGCCTGAGCTTGGGGATATTAATTTAATGTATTACCAGTTAAAGTCACAAATASGATAATGAGAAATAGGAGCAAATGTTTAAAAACACCGTTCTCCACCCCTCCCTTCTTCCTGGCACAACTTTATTCCTGATTTTCTGTGCCTCCTAACCCCCAGTGGCACAGGGGGATGGGGAATGGGGGTCAGTTCCTCAAACGTTTTCTCTTCTGCTCCTTCCACTGCGGGGGCAGCACTCACACTTCTCCCCTGCTCTGCTGTGGGGTGCCTCCCATGGGAGACAGTCCTCCATGAATTTCTTCAGCGTGGGTCCTTCCCATGCACAGCAAACACAAAGTGTTATTCATTTAACTGCTCCAGTGTTGGTCCCTTGCTGGGACTGCCATTCTTCAGGCACAGAGTGTTTCAGTCCAGGTGCCCTGGTGGGTCCCAAGTCCTGCCAGCAAACTTGCTCCAGTACAGACTTCTCTCTCGATGGATCTGTGGGTTCTGCCAGAAGCCTGTTCTAGAGTGAGCCTCCCATGGCGTTTCAGCCTTCTTGGGCATCCCCCTGCTCAGGGCATGAAATCCTCCACAAACTGCAGGATTCATTGGTCCTGCTCTACCGTGAACAGGGGCAGAGCCTGCCATATTGTGGTCTTCACCAAAGGCTGCAGAGGAATTCCTCCTCTG